CTGTATTTAATATAGTATATTTAAATAGCATCCATCTCCTTTTAAAATCATTTCTACACATCTTTTCACTTAAACCTCATACCTTTCTAGTCGCTATTTTTCTTTTCCTGCTCAATTCTTTAATATGACTCTTTATAATTTCCTCTCCTGTTCAACATAAGATCTAAGTATTTAAATTTCTGTACTTCTTCCAGCTCCTTATTTCCCCATTTCCATTTTTCTTTACTCTTTCTTCTTGCCCCTTTATACATACCATAACCTTTGTCTTTTCTGTGCATAACTCTAGATTCCTCTCCTTTAAAAATCTCTTGAGCGTACTCATATCTTGCATCGCCTCCCTATTATTGGCTATCAACATTATGTCATCCGCATATGCTAACGACGATATAATGATATATTTTTATGACAATTATAAATTGATATTTTTATAATATGTATTTCTTAAATATTACAAGATAAGATTGATAATTGATAATAATAAATAATTGGATATGATTATAAAATTAAACTAAAGTCAGTTTTTTATTTTGACGTCTTTGCTTTTTTAATTATTCCGGAGCAGATCCATGAGCGATTGCTACTATTAGATAATGTAAAAGAATGCAATAGCAATAAGCATTCACGGATCCGCTCCGCAACAGTTGAGTCTGCTAAAGACGACCAAATTATTGTTATTTAATAATTATTAAATATAATTCATATTTTGATGAATTTTATGAAAAAATTAAATATTGTTAATGATTTTTTTTAATTTTATACTCTTTTAAAAAATCTTATATTCTTAATTATTTTTATTTATAAATTCGATACTTTTAAAGGAGATGGTTTAAAAGACCTACAGATACGGTTTAAACAATCGGTTATCTAAAATTCTTAATCGTACCTTTCGTAGTATAATAAATTGATTTGGTATCCGTGAAAAATGTAACATACCTATATGTATAATAATACATGTCTGAAATATCAAGTTACAATTTCTAATGTTTATTTATACGCATACAAATCGGCAGAGTTGGGAAGTACCGCGTTACGTGTAACATTGTTACCGTTTTCGTTACTTTTTTCTGTCTGTAATATATATATAATAAACAAACTAAACGTGTATCATTAATAATCATATATGATACATATATATGTATCTTGAAGCCATTGGATAAATTAGCTGTCCACATTGTTGGAAAGAAATCACAGTGATTCAATCTGTGCAAGAACCAAGATGTACTATATGCAGTATACACAACAATGGCTGCGTTCCGTTTCAGACATATGCGCGCATTTTATATAGTGAGCGTCACGTATACTATAGGGGAATGCGCGCATATACGTGAAATGGAACGCAGCTACTATCACACAACACTATCACAATTGTAAAATATGTATTGTTTTATTTTATACTCTATTCTTAATTTTTTAAAAGAAATATTTTGTACACCTAATATCTTATACTGCAGAGTTCTAATTAAAATAAAAAGGTACTGCCAATACTGAAAATATATAATTCACATTACATATATATATTGAATGTATATTCATATATATATATATTCATGTATATTATATATACATATATATATATAATTTATAAATACAATACTGTTTTTAGTAGAGTTTCAAGTCTAAATATTTATTTCACATTTAATATTAATTATCAGCTAATGTAATTTTAAAATCTAATAATTTTTAGCATTATAAAAAAAAGTAACGAAAATGTAATCGTTACATTTTAAGTAACGGTAACCCGTTACTTTTTGAAACTAGTAACGAGTAACGGTAACAAATAACTTTTTTTAAAAAAAAGTAACAGTAACGGTAACGCGTTACTTTTTTGAGGTAACGCACAATTCTGCAAATCGGTATACTAAATAAAAAATATAATAATTGAAATAATTTAAATGGTACGTGTTTGGTGCGCGCGCAAAACTCTCCTCTATAGTAAGCATATCCTATAAGAATATAAAAGAATTTTTATTGGGAATAATAATAATAACAAACTTGATTGTACCTAATATCTCAAATAATTTAAGTACATTGATCAAAATGATTATATAGAACGTAAATTTTTAGTTTTAAACTCATTTAATTTTAAATTTTTATTCAATATTTTTTCTTTCCATTAGCACCCGAACCCGTGTTGCAAACAAATCCCTGTGTGCCATCTCCATGTGGAGCAAATGCCGAGTGTCGGGTTGTAGGCGATGCTCCCTTATGTTCATGTCTAGCAGGATTCTTGGGTTTGCCACCGTATTGTAAACCCGAGTGCATTAGCAATAGTGAATGTCCTGCTCATTTAGCGTGTATGAATCAGAAATGTAGGGATCCTTGCGAAGGTTCCTGTGGAGTTAACGCCGAATGTCGTGTAGTGAGCCATACGCCCATGTGTGTTTGTCCTAGCGACCTCACTGGCGATCCATTTACACAGTGTACTATGAGACCACGTAAGCATCGATCTTATACATACAAAATTAAATTATATTTAGATAGATCTGTTTAGTTTTGATAGATAAAATATCTGTTAGATAGATAAACCATGTTTAGTTTTTGACTTTTAATAAATTATAGAATTATACGAGGGCAAGTCGATAAGTTCTTAGGAAATCTGTCAGAGGGCACTTGCAGTGTCATGTCACATTACTTTTTGACAAGTAGCATCTTTCAGCTGATTACTGTCAAATTTTGAGCGGAATTCATCGAGAGGTTTCATTTCTGCAGACGATTAAAGCGAACAACCTTTGTATTTTTTGCAAAATGGAAAAAAACACGTGTTTCGTACAGTGATCAAACATCTACATATGAAAGGTGTTTAACGTCGAAAGAAATCAAAGCCGAGTTGGATAATGTTCATAGCACATTTTTGTACCAGCGTTTGCAACTGTATACAATTGGGTGAATGAATTTAAACGTGAATATACATCCACATGTGATGCACCTCGTTCGGGATGTCCAATTAAGGCTGCTACGCCAGAAATCAGCGATAAAATCTACGATATTGTTTTGACTGATCTACGAGTGAAAGTGCGCGAGCTTATTGAGGCTATTGGCATATCACATGGCACAGTGATTTCAATTTTGCATGAACAATTGGGTATGAAAAAGCTATCGGCTTTGGGTGCCGCGTTTGGTCACTGTGGACCATAAGCGCGACCGTGTGACGATTTCAAAACAATGTTTGGAGATGTTTCAACGTAATCCAGGATGAATTTCTGCGTCGATTCATTACTGTGGACGAAACATGGATCCACTACTTCGCACCCGAGACGAAGGAACAGTCAAAACAATGGATTTTACGCCGGGTAAACCAGCTCCGAAGAAGGCGAAGACCGTGACGTTGCCCGGAAAGGTGACGATGGTCACAGTTTTTTGGGATGCACGTGATATAATTCATATCGATTACCTTTCGTCGAAACAAACGATCAATGGCGATTACTACGCAGCCTTATTGGACCGTTTCAACAACATTTTAAAGAAAAAACGTCCCCATTTGGCGAAGAAGAAAATGCTCTTCCATCAAGACAATGCACGGGTTCACACATGCCCGACACCGATGCGATGGCCAATTCAACGAATTCCGCTACGAATTGCTTCCCCATCCAGCATATTCGCCAGATTTAGTCCCCTGTGACTATTTCCTGTTTCCAAATCTGAAGAAATGGTTCGGAGGAAAGAGATTCACTACCAGAGTCTATTTATTGTCTTGAATCAAGACAAGACCAAAACAAGAAGAAGAAAATAATTTCAAGTCAAAACCAAGTAATGTGTTAAAGTAATGTGTCAAGACCAAGATTTCTTGACAAGAAGTCAAGAAATTTCTTGAAATTTTTTATGTATAAGGGGATCCTAAAGTAGTCTGTATTACGACTAAATCGTATAATTTTTGTATCGTAAATACTTTTTTTGTCATTCACAGATTCGAAAATCCTTTTACAGAATTAAAGTATTAATATGTGCCTATGAGGTAGAACCTATGCTGAAAACGATAAAAAATTTCAAAATTGAGTTCTTCTTTACCATTTTTTAGTCTAATATGGCGCTCCAAAGCTGTCACGTCGTTGCACGTCGTAACAACATTTGTTTTATATAAAAGTTGCGCAATCTGTACTCAAGAAATACTAGTCCACAGGCATGTAGTTTGCATGAAGAAACAGCGTGGAGTTTTAAAATTAGATTTAGATGTCTAATTAAAACATAATTACGATACAAAAATCTATGTATATGTATGGCGTGCGTGAGTAAGGTATTCATGTAGTGATGTGTCAATGACACGTAATCATCTGTGTGTGTAAGTGCTATTTCCAATACGATTAATTTTCTTTAGGATCCCCTTAATGTTTTTTGTTTTTTTGTTTTATGTTTGTTTTTATGTTTTATGTTTAATTGTTTTTTAGGCCCTATTTAAAAAACAAAAAATTTCAAGAAATTCAAGTTTCTTGAGATCAAGACAAGAAATGCAGTGTAAAGAAATGCTCAAGACAAGAGAATCGTAATTTCTTATCTTGAAAATCAGGACAAAACAAGAAATGTTCTTTAAGACAAGAAATCTTGTCTTAGTGAAACACTACTTAGACATGGTCATATGCAAAGCATATTTATTTATTCTCCATCGTAAGCAAACGCGGCACCCATCGCGACGTCAACTTTCTCATGCCCAATATTTCATGCAGGATATGAAATAGCCGTTCTTCTGAGATGCCTATCATTTCTACTATCTCACACAACTTCAAGCGGTCACTCATAACAATATCGATTGACCATTTCTTCGTTGGTAGCAGTTTTCGGGCGTCCACTAGGTGGTTTATCATCGGTGTTGGTACGACCACGTTTAAATTCGTTTTACCTAAAAACTGATGGTAATGAAGGAGTAGATGTGAACCTTCTGCAACTCTGCTTGAATCTGCGTAGATATTTTCCCTTTTAAAAAATAGTATTTTATTACTGCACGAAACTCCTTTTTATCCATTGTTGAAAAAATGTTTGATTTGCTTTGTTTGACTGCTCATAACTAAATGACTAATGGACGTAATTGTCTGAAAATTTGACAGCAACCATGAAAGATGTACGTTTTGACCATTATGTCTTTTTTGCGATAGGCGCGCTATTTCTGTGTGACTTAAAGAAACTTTGCAAGTTGCCCTCGTATCTTTCTAATTTTTCTTAAAAAATTAGTTAAAAGTTATTCGAAACATTTTCTATTTTATATTCTATTTTCAGCTACACCAATCCTATTATCACCTTGTAAACCGTCACCCTGTGGCTTTAACGCCATTTGCAAGGAACAGTTTGGTGTCGGATCCTGTTCTTGTTTATTAGATTATATTGGCAATCCTTATGAAGGATGTCGTCCTGAATGCGTGGTTGATACAGATTGCATATCTATTCTTGCTTGCGTACAATCAAAGTGCAGAGATCCATGTCCTGGTGTCTGCGGACAATTTACCGAATGTCAAGTTATTAATCATCGACCATCTTGCACATGTATTTCCGGTTATAGTGGCAATCCCTTCCAATATTGTACTGTGATACGCGATGTTGGTACGATAATATTTTTTTGAATACTAAAAAGCTTTATATCTCGCTTAATTAAAATTTTCTACGTTCTTTTTGTTATATTAAAAATTTTTTATTTTATACATATGTAGGTATTTGATAAGATTTACAATATCATGATATTGTCTTGTTTTGTTTTTAAATAAATCTTTTAACGCGTGTTAATTTAATTTACGAATGTTCTTAATATTTTTGTAAATGAATACTTTAAATATTCTTTCCTTCTTTAATACCAAAAATTTGAAAGATACATCTAACATTTTAGTCGATACTCCGAGAGATGTTTGCAATCCGTCACCTTGCGGACCCAACAGCCAGTGTCGTGTTAATAACAATCAAGCAGTCTGTTCTTGCTTACCGACTTTCATCGGTAGTCCACCTGCATGTCGACCTGAATGCGTGACAAGTTCGGATTGTTCCCTTAATCTTGCTTGCTTGAATCAAAAGTGCCAAGATCCTTGCCCTGGATCTTGCGGCAAAAATTCGAATTGCAGAGTCATCAAACATAATCCGATTTGCTCTTGCAAGAATGGTTATACTGGAGATCCATTTACTGTTTGCTTTCAGACACCTGGTACGATTTCCAATTTTGTTTAATAATAATTTTCAGCAACTTATATACAGTGTCCTATTTTAACTTTTACATTAAAATATCTCGAAAAGTATAAATAATAATGGCCTTTTATATGCAAAATAGTTAGTGAAATCATATTATGTAAAAAAAAATCTCTAATGATAAAAGGGCAAGTGAGAGTGCAGCGTTGTTGTTGGTACGCAATCAATCAAAACCTGATCTCTATCAAATTCTTTATTCTTAACAATAAAAATAGAAATATCAGAATGTTTCAACTCTTTTTTTGAATCATCTTTAGCTAATAAAATTTAAACTTATCTTTGCAAATCTTGTAAATAAGTCGCATCAAATTGACAGATTCAGTGTTAAAATATCTGTAATTATTAAACATTGGTGAAAACAAACCATAATCTGAAATTTATTTAAAGTGACTCACCTTACAAAATCAACAGGAAGGTATTATAGAGAAAAGTGGAATATTTAACGAACGAATTTCACTTTTTAAATTACTCGTGGCGATGCCGCCTTTCAGAACATATAACGTTCGATTCAAAATTTTTTATATTTTAGTAGTTATGCACACCCGAAAAATAGACTTTGGTGGCTCGGGATAAGAGACTTGTAGTGTCTTTCAGTTTTTGAACATGGCCGAAGACACTACCGCGTCTTCTGATAATTAAATGAAGATGGCTAAAAACAATAGCTAAACCGCACTCTATGTAATTATATATTATGTTATAGTAAACTATTATATTTATATAAATCTTGATATAAATTTACCTTATTACCGCGCTGAATCCATATTAGCCTATGTAAATTTTTCTTTTTACTTAATTATAAGGAGTCTATTATTTTACTTACTATATACCTAATGTAAATAAAATCATACATTTTAAAAAATAGTTACATATTTTTCGTATAACTATGACAAATCTATATTTTTTAAAAAACTGATTTCATCATTATTGTGCTATATCGGGCCATATAATTTTTGTTTGAAATATTTTTTTGTATCCTATATATTTTTTTAAGATGTTTGGATATAAAAATTAAAATAGGATATCTTATATTTACATACACATTATTAGAATGCGTAATTATATTTAATAAATATAATTATTTAATAAATATAATTAATTATATTAACAAATTAATTAATTATATTTAATATAAATATACTCAGATCTTGATAAAATATTTATTTCATCAAAATACTAAATACTATTTTGAGATCGTATATAACTCTGTCTAATTAATTTTCTTTGAGAATCGATAAACAATAATACTTATTAATAATATTTGAAAAGTCTTAATTTCTGGCACAATGAGAAATAATAAGTCTTTTACTGTTCATTAATTTACAAGAATATTGTATAGAAATGGATATTGTAATATGCAATTAGATTTTATAACAATTATGTACCTCTCAAACTGTTCATAATTCATTGCAGTGAGTCCGCCTGTTGTAAGTGATATTACGAGAGATCCGTGCATACCATCCCCTTGTGGCATGTTTTCCGAATGTCGTGATATCGGAGGAGTGCCATCGTGTTCTTGTTTACCAACATACAGAGGCAGTCCACCAAATTGTAAACCAGAATGCACAATCAATGCAGAATGCCCAGCTAATATGGCTTGCATGCAGCAAAGATGTAAAGATCCCTGTCCAGGCTTATGCGGCATTATGGCCGAATGTAGTGTCGTAAATCATGTACCGATTTGCTCGTGTTTACCTGATTACACTGGCGATCCTTTCATTGGATGTTCCGTAAAACCACGTAAGATTCCCCATCAGGAATATATAATAATAATTTTTTGTTCTCCTTATTGTATCATACTTGATCTTCTTACACGGAATTATTATAGTCATTGTTGCCCCTTCCAAACCGGATCCATGCACACCTTCGCCTTGTGGACCTAATACGCAATGTAATGGAGGAATTTGTAATTGTATAGCAGAATATTTTGGGGATCCTTACAGCGGTTGTCGACCAGAATGCGTATTGAATAATGATTGTCCGAATACGCGAGCGTGTGTGCGAAATAAATGTGTGGATCCTTGTCCGGGTGTTTGTGGTCAAAATGCTATATGCAATGTGTACAATCATGTTCCTATGTGTACTTGTCCCTCGGGAATGGACGGAAATGCTTTCGTCCTATGTTCTCCCGTGCCAGGTATTCTTTGAAAATTCTAAACACGTAACTGACATATCAGAATATTAAATCTTATTTGATATATTATCAAATAATATCTTTATTTTTAGTACATCAAATCTTTATTCAGTAATTACAATTTTTCCTTCTTATAGTGCCACCTATTAACAACCCATGTAATCCGTCTCCGTGTGGTCCGAATAGTCAATGCCGACAAAATAATATGCAGGCTGTATGTAGTTGCATAAGTGGATTTATCGGCGCGCCTCCGACTTGCAGGCCCGAATGTGTAATTAGTTCAAATTGCCCGAAGAATGAAGCATGCATCAATCAAAAATGTCGGGACCCTTGTCTAGGAAGTTGCGGTCGTAACACAATCTGCAACGTCATTAATCACAATCCTATTTGCGTCTGTCGATCTGGGATGACCGGAGATCCGTTTATTAATTGTTTCCCCATTCGTAAGAAAAATTTTTTTCTTATTCTTTCTAAAATAACCTTCTAAAATAATTAAGATTTAACAAATTAATTTTCGCGATTTGTTTTATTTTATTATTTCGAACACGCGCATAATATAAATATATTTCAATATAGTGCCTCAATTAATGTTAACCGATATTACTTTTAAAGCTGAGGATCCATTACCTGTACTTAATCCTTGTCAACCATCACCGTGTGGACTAAACGCGCAATGCCAAGTGATTAATGATCAACCCTCTTGCTCGTGCTTGCAAGAATTTATTGGATCACCTCCGAACTGTCGGTATGAATGTATTAGCAACAGCGAATGCTCGAACAAAATGGCTTGCATCAACCAAAAATGTCGCGATCCGTGCATCAATGCGTGCGGCATCAATGCCGTTTGCAATGTTGTTAGTCACACACCAATGTGCGCCTGCACCCCTGGTTACACTGGCGATCCGTTTACGCAATGTTCTCCCCAGCAATGTAAGAGAATTTTAAAGAATGATTCAATTATTTAAATATTTTAGAAGTTAAATTTACTTCTCGATTTCTATTAATTCACAATTAATTCACGTTTACTTATGTGAAAGAATTAATAACGAAATTAATATTAAATTATTATTATTACAAGATTACAATTTATCAAATACGTTTTTGTTTAAGAATGGTTAATTAAATTACTTTTTGATTCTTATTTTAGTTGATGTACAGCCTAGCGTACCCACGCCATGCACACCATCTCCGTGTGGTGCAAATGCAGTATGCAGAATTCAGCAAAATGCTGGTTCTTGCTCGTGCTCGACCGATTATATTGGCAATCCTTATGAAGGGTGCAGACCTGAGTGTACACTCAATTCCGACTGTCCGTCCAATCAAGCATGTATTGGTTTAAAATGTAAAGATCCATGTCCAGGAACATGCGGCCAAAACGCACAATGCTACGTAATTAATCATGCACCAACTTGTACTTGCTTTGAGCGGTATACAGGAAATCCATTCATATTTTGCAACCTTATCGTTGAAGCCCGTAAGAACTCACTTAAAAATCTCATACGCATCTTTTTTGTAGATAATTATGTGATTGTAAATACCTGACTTTCTTGCAGCGGTGGTAGCAGATAAGGTTAATCCCTGTCAATTATCTCCTTGCGGACCATATAGTCAATGTAGAGAAAGCAACGGTCAAGCTGTTTGTTCTTGTCTACCGACTTATATTGGCGCACCACCCGGTTGTAGACCCGAATGTACAGTTAGCACAGATTGTGCGATAAATCGAGCTTGCGAAAATAATAAATGTGTTGATCCTTGTCCCAATTCTTGCGGTCAGGGTACGTCATGTAGAGTCGTAAACCATAGTCCAATATGCACATGCAAACCTGGATTCAGCGGTGATCCATTTATACGTTGCTTATTTGTACCACGTAAGCGGAACGAATCTTATATACATTACACTAAACTTTTACTCTATAATTCATTTTTTATATTAAAAAATGTTAATATTTGCTATTTTTTAAGAAATAATTGTCTTTGCATAAAATCTTTTGTTTTTATTTAAAGCTTTTATTGGGTGCATTCAGTACAACGATCGCTCATTGAGCTCTCGCATCTGGTTGGCATATTCCGTTAAATCTAAAAATATAGATCAGACAGATACAAAAGCTCACTGAGGGCTCAGTGAGCGGTCATTGTACTGAATACAACTATTATATGAAGAAGTAAAATTATATTCTTAGAAATGTTAATAAGTTTTGAAACATTTTACAGAGATTTCATATTCTTAATTAGAAAATAGTTATATAATTCAAGTTTATTTAAAAAACATTTTTTTTTAATGTTTCGTTGAAATTCAAAGATTTTATTATAAATTTTAGCTGTTCCGAGTTACTTACCAAGCCTGCCCTCAGACCCTTGCATACCGTCACCGTGCGGATCTAATTCGCAATGTCGCAACATCAACGGTTATCCATCCTGTTCTTGTATGATTAATTACATTGGTACACCACCAAATTGTCGTCCAGAATGCGTTATTTCTGCCGATTGTCCGAGCAATCAAGCTTGTATTCGCGAGAGATGCCAAGATCCCTGTCCAGGTTCTTGTGGTCTGAATTCTGATTGTACTGTTCATAATCACATTCCAATCTGCAGATGTATAGAAAGTTATACTGGTGATCCGTTTATTGGTTGTCAGCCTGTACCAATATGTAAGTTTATATTAAAATTTTTTTTATTTTTGCAATTATATAATATTTTTCAATGTATTTACAACTTTATTTAAATCGATAATTGTAATAATGTAGACAATGAGCCAACGCAGCCAATTGATCCATGCAATAGATCACCTTGTGGACCAAACGCTCAATGCAACAACGGCATTTGCATTTGTTTATCTGAATACTTTGGCGACCCACACGTTGGCTGTCGACCAGAATGCGTATTTAGTACAGATTGTTCAATTGACAAAGCATGCATACGAAACAGATGTGTCGATCCTTGTCTAGGTACTTGTGGACAAAATAGTTTGTGCACTGTGATAAATCACACACCGATGTGCAGTTGCCCCCCTGGTACCTCTGGAAACGCATTCATTTCTTGCGATATAATAAGAGGTATGATATCAAAATCGAGAAACCAGATGCACGTGTTCGAGAATATGCTAATTAGTATCTATCCTATTATATATGCAGCCCCGTCCGTGACAAGACCATGCAGCCCGAATCCTTGTGGTCCAAACAGCATATGTAGAGAATTAAATGGACAAGCTGTGTGTACTTGTGCACCAGAGTTTCTCGGATCACCGCCTCTCTGCCGACCCGAATGTACCCTTAGCTCTGACTGTCGGCCGAACGAAGCTTGCGCTAATCAAAAATGTAAAGATCCTTGCCCTGGTACATGCGGCATCCAAGCAAGATGCATAGTCGTCAATCACAACCCTGTTTGCTCATGCCCCGAGAGCTACACAGGCGACCCATTTATCAGATGCGATATTATGAGTAAGAAAATCTTGATTCAAAGCATACTGCGTAAGCTTCAACCATCAGATTAAAGATTGAAACATGATTTTTATTCTATCTAGAACCAATAGTAGTAATAAACCCTTGTCAGCCTTCACCCTGTGGTCCGTACGCTCAGTGCCAAGTCGTTAACGATTTGCCATCCTGCTCGTGTCTATCTGAATACAGAGGCTCTCCCCCGTATTGCCGACCTGAATGTATCTCAAATCCTGAGTGCCCTAGCCATCAAAGTTGTATGCGACAAAAATGTAGGAATCCCTGCCCAGGTTTATGTGGGGAAAATGCAGAATGTCATGTGATACAACACGTGCCCCATTGCGTCTGTTCCTACGGTCTCACCGGTGATCCGTACACGCGTTGCTCTGCGATACGTAAGAGATATAAAAGCTTTTTTTATAAAATCGCAAAATTTTAACTGACCTTATTTTTGTTCGACGTTGCTTATAATCTATTTGTCCTTTACGTTGTTTTAGCACGCCCAATAGAACAGGAACCAGTATCGTCGCCTTGCGTAAACTTTGAATGTGGTGCGAATGCAATATGTAGAGAGCGAGACAATATCGCAATTTGTCAGTGTAGCTCTAGCTATGTCGGTAATCCGTACTTAGCGTGTCGACCCGAATGCATTATTAATCCTGATTGTGCATCCAATTTGATGTGCGTAAGAAACAAGTGCACCAATCCTTGCGCCGGTATGTGCGGCCAAAACGCCGAGTGCTCAGTCGTTAATCATCAACCGATGTGCACATGTCTTCCTGGATATACCGGAGATCCTTTCATTTCTTGTTCCATAGACAGTAAGTGTCTATAATCAAACAGTCTAATTTTATTTTGTAAAAATTTTTTATAATAGAAATCGTACAAAATGTTGAATCCAAAAGAATATTGCTTTATACATTAATCTTTTTTTTTCCGTTTTTATATGAGTCTTCTTACATAAGTATATTACAATTTAAATGAGACGGTCCATATGTGAAGTTAACATCTTTTTGTGTTGTAAAAATTTTTAACTTTTTTTTAAAAAATTGAAAACAAAAGATCTAAAATTTTAAAAAAATTGTTTTAATTAATATTAAAAATTTTTACATTTTTTTTAAAGAAAGGAATAAACTTATATATTTCATATTTTTATATATAGTTTTAAGATACAATTAAACTAATTACGTTTAGAGACAAATTTTTAAATAAATTTTATAGATGTTTATATATTTATCTATATAATTTTACTAATATATTAAATTTTTCCCAGAAATAATCTCAGATGAGAACGTTTGCGCCCCATCACCCTGTGGACCCAACAGCAAATGCAAAGAAGTGTCCGGACAGGCTGTTTGTTCATGCCTTCCGACATACATTGGAACCCCACCTGCATGTAGACCTGAATGCGTCGCTAGCTCAGAGTGTTCCCCACAATTAGTATGCAAGGACTACAAATGCGTGAACCCCTGCCCAAGTCCATGCGGACTCAATACCAATTGTATGGTCGTTAATCATAGTCCTATCTGTAGTTGTATGTCCGGTTACAGCGGAGATCCATTCACCATATGCTCTTTAATTCCACGTAAGACAATTGAATTTATGAAGAAATTATACTAATATAATTTTTTAACATATATTGCTATATGTCGCATAATCGTCACCAATCGTAACTCCAAGTATCTTTCAGCCATAACGCCGCCATTAGTACAGAAAGACCCTTGCGTGCCATCCCCGTGTGGTAGTTTCTCCCAATGCAGAAATATCGGTGGTTCTCCTGCGTGTATCTGTTTGGAAAATTATATTGGCCAACCACCTAATTGCAGACCTGAATGTAGCATACACTCGGAATGTGCGAGTGATAAGGCTTGTATTAATATGAAATGTGTAGATCCATGTCCCGGATCATGTGGCACCAATGCCCTGTGTTCGGTTATCAACCATATTCCCACGTGCAGATGTCCCGAAGGATACACTGGAAATACGTTTGTCCTTTGCGAGATATTGCCAGCAATATGTAAGCGATACGAGCCATTCATCCAGTATCTAACTTGAAATGTTAACATGAATCATAGCGTGATTAGAGCTCGTTAATCCCTATATCGATTATATTTTGCAGCCACTCCATCCCCAGTCGAAGATGCCTGCGTTCCGTCACCTTGTGGCCCTAACGCGCAATGCTTTGACGGTATCTGTACTTGTCTACCGGAATTCCGAGGAAATCCGAATGTAGGTTGCCGACCGGAATGCGTCCTAAACGCAGATTGTCCTCGCGATAGAGCGTGTATACGTAACAAATGCCTGGATCCATGCCCCGGAGCTTGCGCTGTTAATGCATTATGTACCGTGATCAGTCACATTCCCATGTGCAGTTGTCCTGGAAATATGACTGGCAATGCATTCAGCCAGTGCACACCTCTACAAGGTATACATAGCTCCCCAATACTTACGATAAGGATCACTCTTATTTTCGATGTTATAAAATTATGTGTAGTTACATAATTGTTTCGTAAATTATTTCTGGGAATTAAATATCCATTATTTTTGTGTATCAGACATACCACTTGCTAATCCATGCATCCCTTCATCTTGCGGACCGAATAGCGAATGCCGTGTTATAAACAATCATGCGGTCTGTTCCTGCATAAGAGGATATTTAGGTAGTCCTCCGACCTGCAGGCCCGAATGCATAGTCAGTACGGATTGCCCTCAGAATGAAGCTTGTAATAATCAGAAGTGTACGAATCCTTGTCCTGGAAGTTGCGGATTAGGTGCATCCTGTCAAGTAGTGAATCATAATCCAATTTGTATTTGTTCACCCTCTCAAACAGGTGATCCGTTTGTTAGATGCTATTTACCACCACGTAAGTATCGTTTGTTACGTCCATATTTATGATCAATGTGGAAGTTTTGAGAAAATCTTTTTTTTTTATGCATCAAACTTTGTCCTTTTAGCTCAAATACCTGTATTACCCATTACACCATGCAAGCCAAACCCGTGCGGTCCCAATTCGCAATGTCAACCTCGCGCTGATGAATCTGTGTGCACGTGTTTACCCGATTTTATCGGTAGTCCGCCAAATTGCAGAGCGGAGTGCATCAGTAACAGCGAATGTTCTAATCATTTAGCCTGTATTAATAAGAAATGTCGGGACCCATGCATTGGTTCCTGCGGTGCAAACGCTAATTGTCATGTTGTCAGTCATACTCCGATGTGTTCTTGTATAAATGATTATACCGGTGATCCATTCACTCAATGCATCTTAAGAGAACGTAAGTATAAGAAAAAAATTGATATGATTTTATTGCATTTATATTTGAGACACAGAAAATTTTGTACCAAAATTGTTGCATTACCATTATCACAAATAAATTTTATTAAAATCGCTATAATAATATTAAAATTTTGTTATCTATTTGATACAGAACCATTCACATATTTTTTTTATTCTATTTTTGTTATTTATACAAATTATTTAAATTTTTATAAAAACATAATAATTTTAAATAACGAAGACTCCTTATAAATTAAATAGAAACATTTTGAGAGAAAAGGGTACTAGAAGTCAGGCGCAGATAACTTTACGCAAATGCTAGTATATAACAAACAAAACTTCTTTATTCTAAAAATGTGCTTACATATTTCGGCTCATTTTTTAGCCTTCTTCAGAGACAAAGTAATAACATAAATAAAACGAGATCAAGAGACGTTTAATCACAGTGAGCCCCTCGCAACCAGGAAATCAAATCTGATATTAATTCCATCTAACAGTACATATCACATGAAAGAAAAAGAAAGGATGAAAGAAAAACAAAAAAAGAAAAGAAAAAATTTTTTTTTTTAATTTCCTGGTTGTGAGGGGCTCACTGTGATTAAACGTCTCTTAATCTCATTTTATTTATGTTATTACTTTGTCTCTAAAGAAGGCTAAAAAATGAGCCGAAACATGTAAGCACATTTTTAGAATAAAGAAGTTTTGTTTGTTATATACTAGCATTTGCGTAAAGTTATCTGCGCCTGACTCCTAATGCCCTTTTCTCTCAGTTTCTATTTAATTTATATATATATAATATATTATTACATATGAATTTTTATAATTCTATGTTTACTGATGTAATTTTTTAGCCACACCATTGCCGCCTGTACCAATTGATCCTTGTAATCCCTCTCCTTGCGGTTCTAATGCAGTATGCAAGGAATTCAATGGTGCCGGTTCGTGTATGTGCTTGCCGAATTACACCGGCAATCCGTACGAAGGATGCAGGCCGGAATGTGTCTTAAATTCGGATTGCCCTGCCAACTTAGCTTGTGTAAATATAAAATGTAGAGATCCATGCCCGGGATCATGTGGGCGCAATGCGTTATGCCAGGTTGTTAACCATTTGCCAGTATGCAATTGTTATCCTAGATATACCGGCGATGCCTTTTCATATTGCACTCCGATAGAAATAGGTATGATTACATTGTGTCTAAATAAACTTGTCGTTAGTTGCAATTCAGTTTATTAAATCAATTACAAATTGTGATTAATTCGTGAAACAATGCAATTTTTAGAAGGAGAAAGTGCTGTCAGTAATCCTTGCGAACCGTCGCCATGTGGACCGAACAGCTTGTGTCGCGTTGTGGATAATACAAGCGTCTGCACTTGTTTACCTGATTTCCAATGGATAGCTAATCCACCAAATTGTCGTGCTGAGTGCACTGTTAGTGCTGAATGCGCTTTTAATCTAGCATGCATCTCATATAAATGTATCGACCCTTGTCATACATTGTGCGGTACCAACGCAAGATGCGAAACAATTAATCATAATCCCATTTGCTCGTGCCCACCTAGTTTTACCGGTGATCCATTCGTTGCCTGCTTTGAAATGCCATGTAAGAATAAATGAAAACAGAAAGTCTCGTAAATCGAATTATAAAGTGGTATAAGTCAGTCATTAAGAGATCGAATAAATATTTTCTTAAATTCTAAATATTCCTCTTTAAAGAGAAAAATTTCGTTTTGCTCTTTGCGTATTTTTTTTTAAATGAAATAAATTTTTATGTAACTTTTTACGTATTACACGAGATATTTCTTTTACTTTTCTGTCGTTTTGATGATTGGAAAAATCGTATTGAAATATGTTATCAAAAATATTTAAAGAAAAGCGTATAATATATATTTATATGCCCATAGCTAAAGATGAAGAACCTCGTCCACTTGTGAACCCTTGCGCACCTTCACCTTGCGGACCTTATTCAGAATGCCGTGACATTAACGGTCAAGCATCTTGTGCTTGTTTGTCAACATATACAGGAACGCCACCCAATTGCAGACCCGAATGTTCAGTTAATCCAGAATGCCCGACTAATCAAGCGTGTATACAGAGAAAGTGTCGAAATCCTTGCGACGGAGTTTGTGGAGTAGGAGCAATTTGTAACGTCATTCGTCATACACCCACATGTTCTTGCTCCAGTGGATTCACTGGGGATCCATTTGTAACGTGTAGACCCATTCCCGAGGAAGGTAAGACAATTAGAAGAATATTTGTAATATCATTAATAGTAATAGACAAGCCTGAGAATATTTCTTTACGATATTTAGAGTGTAGAAAATATCTCCAACTCACAATAAGCTTTATCGCAAACTAATTGTAAGTGTTAAAATTCATTCTTCAGATACGACACTCAAACCGACAAATCCGTGCTTAAATTGCGGTGCGAATACGCAATGCTTTAACGGTGTTTGCAGTTGCCTTCCCGAGTATCAAGGAAATCCAAACTTCGGATGCCGTCCAGAATGCATCCTAAATTCAGACTGCTCGAGAGATCGGGCTTGCATTAAGAATAAATGTCAGGACCCGTGTGGTCTTGGAATTTGCGGTGTCAATGCGTTATGTTCTGTCGTAAATCATGTACCAGTTTGCACTTGTGCACAGAGAATGTCCGGTAACGCATTTGTGCAGTGTTCCCCAATAGATGGTACTTAATTGAGCAATTACTCTCAGAACGTGTCATAAATTATTCATAATTATATTCCCTCTTGTAATTTTATTCTTTTTTTAATATTTAAACAGACATGGTATTAAAAGATCCATGTAACCCATCACCCTGTGGTCCGAATAGTCAGTGCCGAAAGATAAAGGAACAAGCTGTCTGTTCGTGTCTCCCTGGATACTTGGACGCACCACCTAATTGCCGAGCCGAATGCATTATTAGTTCCGACTGCCTTGCTAACAGGGCCTGCAATAATCAAAAATGCATAGATCCCTGCCCTGGAACGTGCGGCATCAGAGCTCAATGCACTGTAGTTAATCACAATCCGATTTGTTCTTGTTCCTCCGAATTAACTGGAGATCCCTTCACTCAGTGTATCCCAAGACGTGAGTAATTTAAAAGCAACAATTGATAAGTAATAATGGAGGTATTTATCATGAAGAAAATATTATATTCTTTATTTTTTCCTAACAGCGATAGAATCTCCAACGCCCATTAACCCCTGCGTTCCATCTCCGTGTGGACTTAACAGTAAATGCGAAGTTGTAAACGATGCATACTTCTGCTCGTGCTTGCCAGAGTTTATTGGCGTCCCACCGCATTGTAGACCCGAATGCGTTAGCAATAGTGAATGTTCCACACAGCTAGCATGCATCAATCAGAAGTGTCGCGATCCATGCCCGGGCTCCTGCGGTATTAATTCTGATTGCCGAGTAATAAGTCATACACCTATGTGCGTTTGCCTTGTCGGATTTGAAGGAGATCCGTTTATACTATGTAATCCCAAGCAAAGTAAGTGCAATAATTATGTATTGTCTAAAGTACTTTAGAATCATAGAATGCATTTCTGATTGTCGATATTATGACAAATGTTTTTTGACATTAAATGGTGATTTAATTAAATTTTTATCCAAATCGAGTTAAGATCAAGTTTAATTTAAGTAAAAAATAACATATTATATTATGTTTTATTATTATTTATATATATTTATGTATATTATTTTATTGCTTATTATAGCTTTAATGCTTATGATTCAAATTCAATGCTTTACTATTATGGCAATTATTTTATTAAATTTTCAGTATCTGCGATCGAAAATACATTCGGTGATTTTCTAGGATGATCGTTTATAATTTATCAGAACGATTGACATTGTCTTAAGAACAAGAAATAAATTTGATATCTTTTATAGGCGACGCTATAAATGTTGTAAAACCAACACCTTGTATTCCGTCACCATGTGGGTTTAACGCGGTGTGCCGCGAATCGAATGGCGTTGCTTCTTGCACGTGTCTATCAGATTATATAGGCAATCCATATGAAGGTTGTCGACCCGAGTGTACGATAAACTCCGATTGCACCGCGGATCGAGCATGCGTCGGATCGAAGTGTCAGAATCCTTGTCCAGGTTTTTGCGGATATAATGCTATTTGCCAAGTAGTGAATCATGCTCCGTTGTGCACGTGTCAACCTGGATACAGTGGCAATCCGTTCGTCTTATGTAACACAATTGTACAAGATACGTGTAAGTGCTAAGTTCTTAGAAGACGCAGTTTAATCAAATCTGATAATTAATTTTCGATTTATCGGAATATTTTCGAAACCTTTAATTTATCCAAAATTATATAATTACAATATTGTAGCATCTATAGAATTTTATAACAATTCATTATCAGTACAAGTTAAAAATCAATAATTTTTAACAGTTTGTGTGATTACATTTATGTTAATCATGTGAAATTTTTGTAATTTTATAAATTAACTTGCAATCTTCTATTTTTAGCATTAGAAGTTAATCCATGCAGCTCTTCTCCTTGTGGACTTAATAGTCAGTGTCGTGAATTAAATGGTCAAGCGGTGTGTTCTTGCTTACCCACATTTATCGGAACCCCGCCGAATTGTCGTGCGGAGTGTACTGTCAGTTCCGATTGTTCCGTAAATCGTGCTTGCAAAAATCGTAAATGCGTTGATCCATGCCCCGGAATTTGTGGCATTAACGCGAGATGTGAAGTGATTAATCATAGTCCGATTTGCAGTTGTAATCAAGGTTTTACCGGCGATCCTTTTGTAACGTGTTTCCAAACGCGTAAGTACGCTGTAAGATACTTGTTTAAAGAGTCGTTGCATTCATGTTGTATAAAATTTGATTTGAATTAAGAAAGCGTACGTTTTTTGAAGTATGTGAAGTATGATATTTGAAAAAATTATTTGTTTACAGTTATAGACAAAGATACTGTTCAAACGCCAACAAATCCGTGCGTTCCATCCCCTTGCGGTCCATTTGCCACTTGTCGCAATAGCGGCTACGCGGGCGTGCCGACGTGCACGTGCCTGGAAAATTACATTGGTAGCCCTCCAAATTGTCGGCCAGAATGTACTGTTGATTCTGAATGCAACAATAATCAAGCTTGCTTGAGACAAAAATGCAGAGACCCGTGCCTTGGCTCGTGTGGTATCGGTGCTCAATGCCTCGTAGTTAATCACATGGCGGTCTGTCTCTGTCCGAAAGGTTACACTGGAGATGCATTTGCTAATTGCTTTCCGGAACCTGCTCGTAAGCATTTATCTTCATTATACTACGAACATATGTTTCATTTACATGTTTGATAAAAGAAGAATTAAGAATAAAGTTAAATGCAAGTTTTTATAATTAATTGTTTAATAAAATTTTTTAAGTAAATTTTAAATATTTAATTTATAATTTAAGCATATTGTGAAGAACTAATATCAGTTACAAATTTATTATAATGAATTAATACATTAAATATTTTTCTTAAAAAACGCCAATTACGTGATATTCTTCGCAATATATTAAATTAATTTAAACAGATTTTTAACTTAATTCATTGGGGCTCATTGCCCTATTTCTCTATATTAGTTGTTTTAAATATTTTTAATCTGTGTGAGAATGATTATTACAAAATAACAGTATACTAAAAAATTTCAAAACATGAAACTGAAAAGATATGTTCCGTATTGTGAGACCTTTGAAAGTAAAAATGTTCATTTGAAATGGACAATGACATTTGCAGCTGCACCTATACCGCAAGATCTTTGTAATCCGTCCCCGTGCGGAACTAACGCGGTATGTCGCGACGGCGCTTGCACTTGTATGTCTGAATACCGCGGTGATCCTTACACCGCATGTCGACCCGAATGTGTACAAAATCCAGATTGTCCATTAGACAAAGCGTGCGTTCGTAACAAGTGTTTTGATCCGTGCATTGGAGTTTGCGGCCAAAACGCAAAGTGCACAGTCATAAATCACACTCCAATGTGTGCCTGTCCAGATGGAATGTCCGGCAATGCATTTGCTGCGTGCTATCCGGTCATTCAAGGTAAAATTGATTGACAATCGTATTTTGCATACTAGGGACAATTATTAACTAAAGATTCCTGTTACACACACACACACACAAACACACACAGGAATTATTTTGTCGTAAAAAATTTAATTTGCTTAAAGATGTTTTGAAAAAAAAAAACGATTTTGACAATAATTGCTTTTGCAGATCAAACTGTTATTGAGAATCCATGTAACTCATTGCCTTGCGGTCCAAATAGTCGATGCCAAAGCTTTAATAATCAAGCAGTATGTACGTGTATAGCTGGATTCATAGGAAATCCGCCAGCTTGCCGACCCGAATGCATAGTTAATACTGATTGCGCACTGAACGAAGCTTGCATCAACATGAAATGCGGCAATCCTTGCCTTGGTGCGTGTGGTATATCCGCTCGTTGCCAAGTGTTGAATCATAATCCAGTTTGCACCTGTCCTCCTGTATTTACTGGCGATCCGTTTATACGTTGTGTACCAAGACGTAGGTTTCTATTACTTAAAACACTAGACGCACGTTTATCAAACATATAACAATTTGTATCTTTTTATCATAAAGCGGAGGATATTCCAAAACCGATAAACCCGTGCCAACCATCGCCTTGTGGTCCTAATTCTCAGTGCCAAGTCATCAATGATACTCCATCGTGTTCTTGCATGATAGAGTTCATTGGAACACCACCAAATTGTAGACCGGAGTGCATTAGTAACAGCGAATGTCCAAGTCAAATGGCATGTATTAATCGAAAATGTAGAGACCCGTGTCCTGGATCTTGTCATTCTCTGGCCAATTGCTACGTCGTTAATCATGTGCCCACCTGCACGTGCCGCATCGGTTATACAGGCGATCCATTTGTTCAATGCATAATCATGCCCAGTAAGTTCAAATAGACTTGATTTCTAAGTTTTTTTTTATGAACGCCTTATTAAGCGAATAGCATTGTGTTCATTGTTATCAATAATAATTCTAATAATATCACGCTCGAAAAATTTTAAAAAACAACGATCAATGTACGACCTTTACGAGCAATAATTAGATCTTAAAAATTAACAAATCATAATATTCATATTTAATATAATTTTACAAAGACATCACACATGCATTTCATACATCAATTTCAAACGTTTCGGTTACACAGAGCCTTCATCAGTGAATTACAATAGTCTCAAATTAAATGGAACCCTAATTTTCGATAACAGTTAAATAATGTATAATCTTCTCTATTGGTGTCCTTCTTTTCAATCCACAATAGTCTCAACATCAATATAGTCATATTAAAATCCAAGTGTTAGAATTTGATCGTTTAAATGCGAGAAATTCAATTATGTCAAAATATTGTCCATTATTTTAAAAGCTTCCAAATTAAAAAGAAAAAGAGCAACGTCAATTAACATGTTGAAGTATCTCATGACAACAATGTAATCAACACTTGGATTTTAATATGACTATATTGATGTTGAGACTATTGTGGATTGAAAAGAAGAAGGACACCAATAGAGAAGGTTATACATTATTTAACTGTTATCGAAAATTAGGGTTCCATTTAATTTGAGACTATTGTAATTCACTGATGAAGGCTCTGTGTAGCCGAAACGTTTGAAATTGATGTATGAAATGCATGTATGATGTCTTTGTAAAATTATATTAAATATGAATATTATGATTTGTTAATTTTTAAGATCTAATTATTGCTCGTAAAGGTCGTACATTGATTGTTGTTTTTTAATAATAATTCTTTTTAACGTTACATTTTGATTATTATAGTAATATTAAGGCTATAAAACTCAATCGATAGAGTTCTATTAATTAAGAACGTATTAATTTAGGCGTTGATGTTATGGATAGGATAAAATTATGTTTTTTTAGGCGAACCACCGGCACCAAGACAACCTTGTCAACCATCTCCTTGTGGAACAAATGCCGTATGTAGAGAACAAAACGGCGTCGGTTCTTGTACATGTTTGCCTGAATATATTGGAAATCCCTATGAAGGATGCCGTCCCGAATGTACCATTTCGTCAGATTGTCCCGCACATTTAGCTTGCATTGGATCGAAATGTCAGAATCCATGTCCTGGTTCGTGTGGTACAAATACCAATTGCCAAGTCGTTAACAATATTCCCATTTGTACTTGTATCCCTAGTTACACTGGCAATCCGTACATAAACTGCATTTATCAGACTGTCAGCAGTAAGTAACGTTATACAAGTGTAAGAAATTAATATACATACAAAATAGCATACATATAAGAAAAGTGATAGAGAAAATTGCATATATACGTATATATAAAGGTGATACTTTAAGTATTATGTTATTATAGTTCCCGATGAGAAGCGTCAACCATGCGAGCCTTCTCCTTGTGGCCCTAACAGTCAATGTATCAATAATAATGGTCAATCTATCTGTTCCTGCTTGCCCCAGTTTATTGGAACTCCACCAAATTGTAGACCGGAATGTTTAGTAAATTCAGAATGTGGCTCGAATCGAGCATGTGTTAATCAAAAATGTGTTGATCCATGCATCGGCACTTGTGGTCGCGATGCTCAATGCAAAGTCGTACATCACAGTCCTATTTGTGTCTGTGCAAATGGCTATACAGGCGATCCCTTCATCTATTGCTTCGCGGTGGCAAGTATGTTCTATAGGACATGATAGTCTTTTTATAAAATTTTTAAATTTGTTAAAATTAAGTTGATTTTATTAATTTTTCATTAATGCTATCTATTTTTACGTGCACTAAGAATGCTAATTACTTATACTTTTCCTTAGTTTCAAAACCAGAAGACCAATATCTAAAGGATCCATGCTTGCCCTCACCTTGCGGCCCCAATGCTTTATGCAGAGTCATCGGTGATGCACCAGCGTGCAGCTGCATGCAGAATTACGTGGGTGTTCCACCTAATTGCCGACCAGAGTGTTCAATAAATTCGGATTGTCTCGCTAATAGAGCTTGCATCAGAGAAAAATGTAGAGATCCTTGTCCAGGATCGTGTGGTTTCTTAGCGCGTTGTTCTGTTATTAATCATACACCATCTTGTGTATGTTCTGAAGGCTATACGGGCGATCCCTTCATCAGTTGCAACGTTTTACCTCAGATACCTCGTAAGAAACTTGAGTTTCCGTCATGTTATGTATATTATTGTAGAGCAATCATATTATTATTCTAAATCGCTGCAATTTGATCTGTGCACATTTCAGTACTTCCCCCAGACCGATGCAATCCATCACCGTGCGGTCAAAACGCACAATGTAACAACGGAGTTTGTACATGTATATCTGAATACTTTGGAGATCCTTATGTCAGCTGTCGACCAGAATGTGTGATTAACACCGATTGTCCCCGCGATAAAGCATGCATGCTCCACAAATGTCGCGATCCGTGCATCGGAACATGTGGCGTTAACGCAGAATGCATTGTTGTTAATCATTTGCCCATGTGTAGTTGCCCAAGAAATATGACTGGTAGCGCATTCGTATCGTGTACATCTATTCAAGGTTTGTACGGCTCTCAAGCGCGATGAGAGTATTCGTTTCGAGAATATTCCCTAATGTAAGAGTGAAATAATTATTATTAAATAGATTCATCCATTGTGGAACAACCGTGCAATCCGTCCCCGTGCGGTCCAAATAGCCATTGTCGTGTGTCAAATAATCAAGCCATTTGCGCGTGCATTGCCGGCTTTAGAGGCACTCCACCATCCTGTAGACCAGAATGTCTCATAAGTGCCGACTGCGCCCGCAACAGAGCCTGCAGCAATCAAAAATGCATTGATCCATGCCTCGGTGCTTGTGGATTAATCGCACAATGTACCGTCGTGAATCACAACCCTATATGCAGTTGCCCGTCTTTGTACACGGGAGATCCATTCATTCAATGTATTCGTCAACGTAAGAATTTTATGACACTAGAAACTTATTGTCATATATAATTTATATTATGTCAAGACATTTGTAACACCTTAAACATTGCAGCAGAAGAACTACAACCGGTTGATCCCTGTCAACCTTCACCTTGCGGTCCGAATACGATATGTCGAGTCCTCAATGGCGCTCCATCGTGCTCATGCTTGCCCCAATTTATCGGCACTCCGCCTAGATGTAGACCGGAATGTGTTAGTAACAGTGAATGCCCTAGTCAACAAGCTTGCATTAACCAGAAATGCCGTGACCCTTGTCCGGGATCATGTGGCAGAAATGCTGAATGTAGAACTGTTAGTCACACCCCGATGTGTATTTGCGCCGGTGACTTTACCGGTGATCCATTTATCCAGTGCAATCCCCGACCGAGTAAGTTTTGAAGAAATACATCAACTATATGAAATATATGCGTTACGTGATTTTTATTATAAATTACGTTTAACATATGTACTATTTATGTTTAATAATTGTTAAACAATCTATGGCCCTCTATTTTAGTCGATACACCGTTAGTTCCATTAAATCCGTGCCAGCCGTCACCATGTGGCGCGAATGCTATGTGTCGTGAAATTTCTGGCTCAGTTTCCTGTACTTGCCTGCCCGATTTCTACGGAAATCCGTACGAAGGTTGTAGACCCGAGTGTGTAATCAATTCTGACTGTACATCCAACCGAGCTTGCATAAGAAACAGGTGTCAGGACCCTTGCCCAGGAACATGTGGTGTCAATGCGATTTGCGAAGTCATCAACCACATACCGGCATGTAGCTGCCAATCGAGATATACCGGAGATCCATTCAGATACTGCGAGCTCATGCAAGAAACTCGTAAGTGGATTCAAACATTTATCCGTTGTTATCAATTATTTACCGAAACATGTTATTTCATTTTTTTTTTTTTATCAATTTTGCATAGCTCCGGTACCTGTAGGCGACCCTTGTCAATTGTCACCGTGCGGTCCGAATAGTCGATGCCTCAATGTAAATGGAAAAGCTAGTTGTTCGTGCCTGCCCACTTATCAAGGAATCCCCCCTGATTGCAGATCCGAATGTATCGTTAGCACAGAATGCCCTATAAATCGAGCGTGTGTTAATCAGAAATGCGTTGATCCATGCCCTGGCGTATGCGGTATTAACGCTAAGTGCGATACCTTGTCCCACAGTCCATTCTGCAGTTGCGGAACCAGTCAGATTGGAGATCCCTTCGTCAAGTGTTTCGATACACCCTGTAAGTTCCGAAAAAAGTTCACTGTAAGAACATCGCATCGCGTCAGCAAAAGACAATCTTGTATACGCACGGGGGGAGATTGTTATATATAATTTTATTCCAGTGATGCCTGTATCAACACTACAAGTAAATCCTTGCGTCCCATCGCCTTGTGGGCCGTTCTCCACATGTCAAGACAGGGGAGGCTATCCGTTTTGCATGTGTATGCCTAATTACATCGGATCACCACCTTATTGCCGTACCGAATGTTCAATTAACTCTGATTGCACTAGTAATAAAGCTTGCATTAGAGAAAAATGCAGAGACCCCTGTCCTGGATCCTGTGGTTTTAACGCCTTGTGCATTGTAATCAAGCATACCCCGATTTGTACATGTCTCGAGGGATACACAGGCGATCCCTTCAGCAACTGTTATTTGGCGCCCATGCGTAAGAACTTTTGTTGCCCATTTATAAATTCTTTTTTTTTTTCTATATATAAACTAATAGTATAAAACAATTATTCTTTACACTTGCGTCTTTCGATTCCGATAGAAATTCCTACAGTAACATCAGACCCATGTAATCCGTCGCCATGCGGACTCAATGCCGAGTGCCGTAATGGAATTTGCAATTGTATACCTGAATATCGTGGTGATCCATATCGGGAATGTCGGCCAGAGTGCGTGCAGAATTCTGATTGTCCATTCAATAGAGCTTGCGCGAATAACAAGTGCGTGGATCCCTGCATCGGAATTTGCGGCCAGAATGCGGAATGCGCGGTCATCAATCATGTATCCACTTGTAGCTGTGTCAAGGATTATGAAGGCGATCCGTTCACTCTCTGTAAACGTGTGCAATGTGAGTCTCTCTATTTTTATTTATTCTCTGAGGAGTTCTGCCATTGAAAAAGAGCCAATTAATTTTACCACCTTACGTCTCGATAGCACGCGTCAAACCATGCGAGCCCTCCCCTTGCGGACCTAACAGTGTTTGCCGTGAATTTGGAGATCAAGCCTCATGTTCTTGTCTACCTGGTTACTTCGGTATTCCGCCAAGTTGTAGACTCGAGTGTCTCGTTAGCACCGATTGCGAGCAGAGCAAGGCTTGCGTGAACATGAGATGTCGCAATCCTTGTGAAAACGCTTGTGGCCAGAAAGCGCTATGCGTCGTGCGAAATCATAATCCAATTTGCAGATGCCCCGTTCAGCATTCCGGTGACCCGTTTATCAACTGTTTTCCTATAAGTAAGTAACTACCCAGGATGTTCCAAATAATACAAACATTTAAGAGATATTGTATAGGCGTCTAAAATTTGACATAAGAAGGACGAATGTGTCTTTTGGATGTCTTCTTGATTACTCTTTGATTGTGTTTGCATTGTTGTATTTGAGATGTCTTTTCTTTAACTTTGAAACAAATAATGAATTTCTTTTTTTATCATCAGCAACACCGGACGTAGAACCCACCAGGGACCCGTGTTACCCTTCGCCATGTGGATTGAACTCGCAGTGCGCGGTATCCGCCGATAACACACCCTCCTGTTCCTGTTTGTCCACCTTTATAGGATCTCCACCCAATTGTAGACCCGAATGCCATGTAAACAGCGAATGTCCCACCAATCGAGCATGCATTAAGCAGAAGTGTACCGATCTGTGTGTTGGATTGTGCGGATTCAATGCACTGTGCCAAGTCACTTTGCACCAAGCCCGATGCACCTGTCCCGAATCATACACTGGAGACCCATTCACAGTTTGCTCTGAGATAATATGTAAGAAAATTCCCGCTACCTTTACCCGTACAAACTGACCTGATGGAAATTACTTCGACATCTTGTCAATCAGCATTTTGATCTCTAAAACTTTATTTCTTGAACTCTAGATCTTGTAAATATCATTATTGTACATAATTGATGTATTTAAAAGAACAGCACATGTCAATATTTTTCACACATTGATCTTGCATTATTTTTCAAATGCTATACTCGACTATCATATACCGATACGTGCAAAATATCTTTAAATATATGTATCATATATGTATATGTTACACTTTTACATGTATAAAAAACATATACATTGCATGCAACATACATGTATATTTATTTACTTTTGTTCTTATATGTGTATGCAAATAATACTATATTTTTAAAAACTTTAATTTACATATTGTAATATATACTGCATGTATAATCTTTAAACCATATAAACTATGACTATGAAATTAATTATTATATATTTTCTGTTGTTATTTCAGCAATACCAACACCGCCGGTACCATCTAGACCGTGCAGCCCATCACCGTGTGGAATAAATGCGTATTGCCACGAGAGATTTGACACAGCTATTTGCGAGTGCGTACCGAATTATAGAGGGAATCCGTATCAAGGCTGTCAGCCTGAGTGCCTCGTGAATACCGACTGTCCAAAATCGCAATCGTGTATAAAGACGAGATGTCAAGATCCTTGTCCTGGTACTTGCGGCGTTGGTGCAACCTGTACCGTATCCAATCACGTCCCTATCTGTTCTTGCCCACTGCCAATGATCGGAGACGCTTTTACACTCTGTCAAGTCCCTGTAGAAGGTAAAAGTTTGCTATCTATACTTTCTCTCTTTTCAATTACCATACACTTTTCAACACCATTTTTCGATACGTGTAAATAGTTTTTTCCGATATATTTTGCCTATTGAATCCGTTGATGAAATTTGTCTATCACAACGCAATTTTGAGCAAAATAATGTTAAAGAGAGGTAAAAAAATGCGATGATTTAAAAAATTTTTATGACGTTGCAGCATTCATATTGAAGATCTGAAACGAAACAAAATGCATCTTCAAGTTTAACATTGATACTTTTGTGTGACTAATGAAATTTAGAAAAAATTTTGCTGCTTCTGCTCCAATGTCATAACAACTTTTAAAAAATAATATCGTTTTTATCTTTTTATCGCCTTTTTTCTCAAAATTGTAACATGATCGTCAAATTTGGCTAATGAAATTGTGTTTAGCAAACAAACGTATATCGAAAATGACTATTATATTCTTACTTGTGTTGCAAAAAAGAAGTCAAATTTTGTCAGACAGCAATGTTACGTATAATTTAATCATTAAGTTTTCTAATTGAATAAAGAAATCTTTTGAACATAAGAGATTTAAACGCTGTATCTCCTAAGCTTCCTTTCTTTATCCTTATGATGGACGTTATTAAATCATTATTATTGTGTTTAGATACTAAAGAAACAGATCCGTGTTATCCATCACCGTGCGGTCCGAATACTGTGTGCGAGAAAGTTGGTAATACGGCAATTTGCAAATGTTTGCCTGGACTACAAGGTGTTCCAACAAGTGTAACTGGTTGTCATCCGGAGTGCGTCCTTAGTTCGGATTGTCCGGGCGATAAAGCTTGCATACAGAGTAAATGCAAAGATCCCTGTTCTCAAAATGTGTGCGGTAGCAAGGCAATGTGTAAGACGATCAATCACAGCCCACTATGCAGCTGTCCATCTCCATTGATCGGCAATCCTTTTGAAGAATGTTATACAAAGATCGGTAAATATCGAAAAATTTACGATTTTATGTATAAAATATATTATATATTATAACACAAAATTTATATAGTAAAGCTCGATAAAATTATAAAATTACAAAATTAAGAAATCGATCGATAAAGAGTCTTCTTCAATGTATTATACAAGTAGTATTAATTTAAACTATTATTACAATTTTTCTCCTTAGTCTTCATAAATTTTTCATTCAAATTGGAAAAACATTGAAGACTGTGTAATCAAAACGTACAGCCAGTGAGCTCGTTGTAAATTCAATTAATTGATTAAACTAGCATGATTAGTAATTATTTTCAATTATTATTTTATATATAAAAATATATCATTCGTTTAAGATCATTTGCTCGTTATCGGTCGGTTTCTTAATTTTGTAATATTATATTATTCTTGGATTGTTTTGTTGTGTTATTATGAAACTCGCATTTTTGTTTTAGAAACCAATCCTTGTAGTCCATCGCCTTGCAATTACAATGGCGAGTGCAGAGTGAGAAATGATGTCGCCATTTGCATTTATCCTGAATGCGTTATCAATTCAGACTGTCCGCGTGATAAAGCCTGCTTCTCGCAGAAATGCAAAGATCCCTGCATCGGCGCGTGCGGCATCAATTCTATCTGTCAAACCGTTAATCACAAACCAATCTGTTCATGTCCAGTTGGATTTACGGGTAATGCACGAGTGCAGTGCACAATTCCAGCTCTTGAAGGTAATATTTACATCAGAAGAATATATCAATGCAATGTTAGATATATTTTTGAAAAATAGATTTAAAAAAAAATTAATTTAAAAAATTTATAATTATTATGTTTTCTTAAATACTCATATATTATATTAGTTTGTAAATATTCAAATTATGTATAAAATAATGTAATTACTGTTATTAATATCTAAATAAATCATTTTAATAAAGCATTAATATATCAAAAATGATTATTTTTAGAGTTAAATTTATATGAAGAAATATGTTTTTTATCGTGTACGTATAATGACAAATTTAAATTTTAATTATATCTTTGCAGAACCAATCCCAGAATGTACACAAAATTCTGAATGCTCAAATGACAAGACCTGCTTTAATCAAAAGTGTGTTGATCCGTGTACTCTTGATTCTTGTGGTCTTAATAGTCGCTGCCATGTGCAAATGCACAGAGCTATATGTGTCTGCAATGATGGTTATACTGGATATCCTCAACAATATTGCCATCAACGTGCGTTAAATATATTAACTGCATATTTGTAATGTAAATATATATTTTTCTATCGTTATATAATTCACATCAACTTTATTAATATTTTGTTACAGTCGGTTGTCGTAGCGATAGCGAATGTTCATTAATTCAATCTTGCATTAACAACGAGTGTATTGATACCTGTCTGGTTACACAGTGCGGTATTAATGCAATGTGTACCGCTGATGGATATCATAAAACTCGATGCTATTGTCCTGATGGATATACGGGTAATCCTTATGAAATATGCGAAAGACCTGAGTGTACTAGTGACAATGATTGCGTTCCATCTTTGGCCTGCCATAACTTAAGATGCGTCAATCCTTGCAATTGTCCACCACCATCATTGTGCAATGTTGTCAATCATCGACCAGTATGTAAATGTCCACCTGGTTACGTGGGTAATCCTTACACTTCATGTCTCATGGGTGAGAATTTGTTTTGATATCAGGTTTATAAATATATTTATAAAGGATATTAGAAGCATAATTAAATTAAGTAAAAATAATCGTTACTACATATATGCAATTATGGATTCAATAGAATGAGAAATATGAGTGTATATGTATATATAACGCTATACATGTATATAGCCTTATGTCATTAAAATATTAAATTATTGTTAATAAAGTTGAGAAGTATATTTATCGAATAATAATTTAGATTAGATGGTTGTGAAAATTTTTCAAAATGATTAATAATTAATTATAATTTGATAATATTTAATATCTATTGTTATTTTAGATCTGTTAGAACCAGAGACCGAATGTCAAGTCGATGCCGACTGTCCTAGCAAATTGGCATGTTTTAATGGTATTTGTAAAGATCCATGTACGGAAACGAAACCATGCATAGTTAGTGCCAAATGTAGCGTTGTGGATACTTTACCGATGAGAACAATGATCTGCGAATGTCTGCCAAACTTTGCTGGCGATGCCACCGTTGCTTGCGCGCCAGGTAGATTTATATCCACACACATATACATACATCAATATAGAAAAACATCAAAATAAAATAAGTTATTCTTAAAAAAATATAATAGAAGTTTTCAAATAAAATTGATACGGTAAAATATTGATAACTAAATTACGAATAAGAAGAATTTTTCAGGTTTAGTATTCAGATTATATAATTAATATAATAGTTAATATAATTTAACATCGATATAAGATGCCAAAAGAGCATCAATTAATTATTTATTAATAATTCGTGATAGTATCGCGGTAGTTTATTAGAATTACGTTTCAAAACTGACGATTGTTCGGCGCACAGTTTTGGAGGGACTACATATATTATAGTATATAAGTTCACGCGAAATTATATATATATATATATATATACATATATATATATATATATAAG